ATATATATACATATCTATGGTCTACACTGGATGTGGCGCGGCACGACACGACAAATCCTCGACAGAAAACTGCTGCTGCGTTCTATTTATGACATATTGACACAAATTTCAAATGATTTTCAACGGTCGCTTTGTCGCGTCCAGTGTGCTAGACGGACTTTAGCTGTTGCGGCGCAGACACGGTGTTACTCACCTATCGAGAAGAAACAAAGCAACCTCGGCGTCTGATCGCTTACCCCACCTTTAAAGTCTTCTGTTAAAACCTATTATTTGAATCCATAAAGTCAACATTATGCCGTAAGTGCAATCGACTGAGCCTAACTTCTGTTGAGCCATAGTTTGAATGCAAATATTGCATTGAACTTTACAGTAATTGCTTTAGAATTTATATATTTTTTAAACCTCCCCATGGACTTTAGATATCATGTTTCGTCAAGTGCTAAAAAATCAGAGGCTAAATGACAAGTATTCTTCTTAAGTCTACTCTCAGTAAACCAGGCAGAAAAAGAAAGAGTCAGAGAGAGAGGCTGGACATGTGCACAGGCTTGGGTTTTTTCACGCTCATGTTGAGGTGACTGGACTCATCATGAAACCCAAATGTGTGACCATCTGTGCTTATGTTTCTGTACTGCCATCTCTCTCTTAGTGCCTGTAGGCTCACATAACACTTTCCATTCATAATAGCACCTGCATTGTGTGATGCCATTGAAATATAACTCTGTTTCACATCGAACCCGACCCCCCATGTTAGACTATATTGCTCAAAAAAGATGCATGAAAATTGATCTCACTTTTGACTTAATTTTAGAGAATTCTGTGCTAAAAATATCAGATTTGGATGAAGCCACACAGAGCATGCTGCAGCCCAGTAATGCTAGATATGTCCTGTAGGCTCACATAACACTTTCCATTCATAATAGCACCTGCATTGTGTGATGCCATTGAAATATAACTCTGTTTCACATCGAACCCGACCCCCCATGTTAGACTATATTGCTCAAAAAAGATGCATGAAAATTGATCTCACTTTTGACTTAATTTTAGAGAATTCTGTGCTAAAAATATCAGATTTGGATGGAGCCACACAGAGCATGCTGCAGCCCAGTAATGCTAGATATGTTTTTTTTGATGATGGATGAGCATTCCCTCGAGCCAATGTCAGTGAGAGGAGGCAACACAGCTTATGTAATGTTTATGCTGCTTTTGCCAACAAAGAAGAGTTAGAGGGTCTATAAGCACTCCTCCGTGTTCCGCATAGTTCTTAAATGCTCAAAAACACTGATTATAAAACTGATTAATCAATACAGCATAACAATCTTGTTATACGCAATTATAGCAACTGCTTTGATCTGTTCACCATAGCAGATCATTTGATTTAGCATCAGAATCTACACTACTGTTCAAAAGTCTGAAGTTGGTAAGATTTAGTTTGGCAAGGATGGATTAAATTGATCAAAAGTGATATTTATGATGTTACAAAAGATTTCCATTTCAAATAAATGTTATTCTTTCGAATGCTCTGTTCATCAACGAATCCTGGTAAAATGGATCACCGTTTGCATAAAAAAAGACACAACAGTTTATAACATTGATACTACTACTAATAGGCTAAATGTTTCTTGAGCACCAAATCATCAAGGCTTTCAAAATATATAGAAAACAGTTATTTTTAAATTGTAAGAATATTTTACAATATTACTGTTTTTACTCTTTTATGATCAAGTATATGTAGCCTTATGAAGTGAAGTATACACGTTTTTTTAATCTAGTAAAATTTATGCATATTCCCCAAATTACTTTCACCAGTTTTATATTATTATAAATTGCTGATTGTGCAATCATTTTTCATGATGCAGCTTTATCCCTGTGGCCATTTCTATTATGAGCACTAACCATTGAATGTTGCCTGGCAACCACAAAGAGCACTTTCCTTAAAAAGTAGGTGTTGATGTAATCAGCAAAGCCACAAGCACTTATTTTAAAGTGTTGTGCATTAAACAACGGATTAGCTTCACAGTGCTATTGTTATTTCCTCACACGACAAAACCTATTAAAGAACATCTAGAGCCAGAGAAATGTAATCCGTTCTTTAGCTAGAACTCCAAAAACCTCTTCAGCGGGACATCTATCATTTCTGCACCCTGAGATGGGGGATATTTCTGTCAGACTGATAAACAAGCTGGATGAACCAAGGTCGTTATATGTAATGTTATATTTTTAAACATGTTAAACACATGATGTCTAGGTTCTCAACGCCACAAAGGGACCACTCTGTCCAACTGCGTCTTTAAAGCATTCTACGCTACAAAGTGCCTTTAATCTAGATTGAAGAGGAAGGGGAGAGGAGGGAGGAGAAAAGGTTGCTAATGGGGAGGGTCATCGTCGAGATTCAGGACAATACCGCTCCCTACTGTTTAGAACAAGAAATGTTTTTAGTGAGTGTTTTCTGACTGCTTTGTCAGAAAGCCACTGCGATGTAGGCTACAGTCCAAGGTTGGACACATCTGATTATTTTTATTTTTATTAGAATACTTATAAAAGTAGTAATGAAAGTTTTGTAAGTATATTTAGTTATCCTTCAAAGTTGTTCCTCAACGTCCCTCAGAGTCGCCATCTGTTGTGTAGATACAGTTCTGCACACATTGGACGCTCTCACAAAGAGGTGCACTCTGAATAGTTTTGAAACAGTGAACCTTAAAGGGATAGTTCACCAAAAAAAAAATGAAGATGTTGACATCACTTGCTCATTCAAAGTCCAAACGTTTTACTATTGTATTCCCTGCAAATAAGATTTGATATTTCTGTGCCAACAGTCACATTAAATATTTTTAAAGGGTTCATTGCCATTCCTTTTCATTTTTAAGATCATCAGTAAAAAAATTGTGATTCAGCCCTGCTGAAAAAAAAAAAAAAGATAGACACCATCACAAAATTTGTAATGGTTTTACTGGTTATAATGGGACTTGTATTGGTTTTAATGGAAACTGTAATGGACCCTGTGGGTCTCTACTGGTAATTGGTCACCTTCTGTTGGTGGCTTGTTAAAACCAATACATCCTAATGGAATATGTCACAAAAAACACTACAGAAAACCATTTTTAATGGTTTTAATGGTTAAAAGTTGATGGGTTGTAATGTTTGTAATGGTAGCCTATTTGTAGTAGAAACCATTTGAATTTTCTGTGATGGATCATCGTTTAATGAAATTAATAATAATGCAAGATGCTTTCCTTGGTTATTGTGGCCTTACAATATCTTGGTCACTTTATCAAGGCGTATGTATCTCTTGTGTACTTCAACAGTGTAATTGCTTTAACTTTTAGCTTTTTAATTGCCGATGGCAGCTTTGTTCTATTACAGTCTGTTCTACTCTATTTTTATTCTGTTACATTGTGGTCACGCTAACAAAAACGTAGTAACATTCTTTGCCTTTTTATTCATTTTCTGTATTTTCCAATGTGGCTTCCTGAAAAGAGATGAGTTCTGTGAGGCCATGGGAATATCTATTTCTGTTAACCCTGTTACCATGACTTTGAACAGTAAACATTTGTTAATGGAAACATGGCTTTTTTTTTTCTTTTTTACAAATATCAGAATTAAATTGCTTTTCTAACAAACAGGTTTGAGTTTGAGCCCTGTAAACTTTTACATAGCATAATAGTAGCTTGATATGGTACAATGCAGTCTTTTTGACACATTTAAAATCACAGAAATGTACAATTAAATCAGCTTTTTAAAATACAGGTGTTTAATAGTCATCCATCTTACTGTGGTATGGCCTTTATAATGCCAATAAACCAATGGCTCCAACAAGTATAAAATGAATAAATAAATATGACAAAAATTTCAAAATGACCATTTATTTTTTCTTCTTTTCTTTTTTGTAAAAGAACGTAAATACTGCTAGATTTGCCTTTTACACAATTATATTCCATAAAACATTTTTTCTTTCAAATTTGTTATAAATTAAAATGATATGCATGCGATTTTGCATTTTCATCTTTAAATTTCAACTTTCACAAAAAAAGGAAAAATGGACACATTTTTATTCTTTTATCTGGAGCTCAGATGAAGCTGCTGTGAAACGGGAGAGGGCAGGATGATGGGAAGGGATGAACAACGTTCCGGTTTTATAGAGAAGTTCCATCTGATTGTCTCAGGCAGCAAATTCAGAGATGATTTTTTTTGTTTAGTCAAATGGGCATCGACTGCCAAATTCCTCATGTTCATTCATCCTCATTATATAATTAACAGAGAAGCATGCTCATAGACAAATGCATACAGAACGTACTCGTTGCGGTCCTTAGTTTTTCCCGAGTTGATTTTTTCTTTAAAATTTATTCTTTTGAAAATGCACAAACTAGCATAAATCAATAAGGCGAGAATATGCAGGCGAGGAAATCAATGGTTTGCCAAGGCCTTGGGTCTGTAAGCTTCAGGTCCAGGTCTGAACTGCTTCCATATGTTGAGGTTCTACTTGTCCTCTGCCAGTCCCTTTCGCACTGAAAACGTATAAGTAGAAGAACAACACTTAAGGGGTCGGTTTAGTCTGTAGCTTTTGAGATGTGGCGAGCCACCTCGGAGCGGTCGAGGAGGTCACTGCATATCTGCAGAAGTGGACCGGCAGTGGCAGCTCCAGTTGGCAGGGTGGAGCGCAGGGTGCCAATCACTCCTAAAGAATCAGAACTAAATCGACCTGTCCATTCTAGAGTTACATGTAGTGCTGAGAAAAATTTTCTTTTTTTAATAGACTCCCAGCACCCTTGAGAGCTATTTAAATTACAATGTACCAAAAGTGCCTTAATTTCAGCTTTTAAATGATGAAAACTAATTATAAGATGTCAATGCTTGCTAAGGACTAGATGACAGCAACACTTTTGTTCAGCATTCCTATGTTATGCATCTCTTTAAGCTGTCTTCCTAACTAGAAAGTAATGCCTGGTAAGAAATGAGTCCATGGGCTAGAATGCAGTGTACCATGCTAACCTGCACAGATGATTGGCTGGCTGTGGCTGAATCTAAGATTCCTGCTGTTTACGGCAGAAGTTATGTGGAAATTCCACCGCCTAGGATTTCGAGGCCTTGGAAAACTCCAAGATCATGGTATTTAAGATTCCATTTCTGTAAGAAAAGACAGCTGGCAGTAGGTTTGTGTTAAGTTACGTTAAGAAACGTTCCAGTTTGTCAGCCACTTTCTCGGGGGCCTGCTTATGGGCAATGATCAGAGCATCATCCTATGTCCGCTCAAGTTATGCACTAATGACAGGGGAAGCATGCGGTCAGGTAACATGCTGGCAATAATGACATAACAAAGACTAACTGAGCTAATTGTTCAGTTCTCAGGGATCCTGTATACACCCTTTACAACTCTCTGATTCTCGGCCATTGCTAGCTTCACAGAATATTTGCTTTTAAGGACCAACCAATCATTCGGTTTTGAAGTTAAATGGTTGCTTGGTAGAAGTAAAACCTGCCCTTTTGCAACACAATCGACAAAAAACAAAAAATCAACAAGCATATTAACATGTGAAAGCATAACAGCTGTAACGTTTCATGTCGAAAGGTTCCCTTTTCCCAGGCAGACACGATGAGCCTTGTATAAGCAGACGGAAATGCAGGCTTTGGTCAGATGGCGAAGGTTCAGGAGGGGTTAAACAGTTTCTGCTTTGTAGCTCAAGAGACCCTAACAAAATGAAAATGTAATGGAAGATGTATACAATTCTGGACAGAAGCCATCTTGGCTCGGTGGCTCTGTGGCTCAGGCTTGGAGGACGAAACGGGGCAGGGCGGCTCAGAGCCGGTGTCGTGAGTCCTGGCTGTAGCTGCCTGGGGAACTGCGGTTGCGGTGGGGCTTGTAGGTGTCCTGGTAGGGGTCTTGGTAGCCCTGCTGCTCTTCCATGTAGTGTTGGTCTCGACCGCTGCCGCCATGCTGAGAGCCAGAGGAGCCCCGGTTCCGTCCCTTGAGTAACACTTTAGTATAGGGACCAATTCTCACTATTAACTAGTTGCTTATTAGCTTGCCTATTTTAACATATTCGCTGTTTATTAGTACTTATAAAGCACATGTTCTGCATGACCATATTCTACATCCCTAATCCTAACCAATATCTAAACTTAACATAGGTGTCCTGGTAGGGGTCTTGGTAGCCCTGCTGCTCTTCCATGTAGTGTTGGTCTCGACCGCTGCCGCCATGCTGAGAGCCAGAGGAGCCCCGGTTCCGTCCCTTGTGCGCTCGTTCGTTGTGGTAGTTCTCGTCTGAGGTCATCAGGTTGCGCCGTTCGTTGGGGGTGGAGTGGTCCCCGGTGTGGTTGGCATGCCGTGTTTTTTGCCCCTGTTGGTTCTGATGTATAAGTACCACATAAAGTAAGAGCCTGCACTAGTTTTAATATAAGCACTACCCTTTTTTTGGGTAACATTTTAGTATAGGGACCAATTCTCACTATTAACTAGTTGCTTATTAGCTTGCCTATTTTAACATATTCGCTGTTTATTAGTACTTATAAAGCACATGTTCTGCATGACCATATTCTACATCCCTAATCCTAACCAATATCTAAACTTAACAACTAAGCAGCAAATTAGGAGTTTATTGAGGCAAAAGTCATAGTTAATGGTTTGTTAATAGCGAAAATTGGACCTTAAAATAAAGTGTGACCTTTTTTTGTAAAGAAAATAATAAATTTATTTAGCAAGAATGCATTAAATTGGTCAAAAGTAACAGTAAAGACATTTGTAATGTTACAAAAGATTTCTATTTCAAATAAATGCTATTCTTTTGAACATTCTTTTCAATAAATAAGTTCGACCGATATATCGATTTACCGATATTTTTCCCGATATTTAAGCATTTTACAATAATCGGATATCGGTTTTGTAATATCGGATTCACCGATAAATGTTTTGAGAATTGCGCACAGGATCGCCATTGCACCACGGCGTCTGAGGGGAGAGGAGACAACCTTTAAATAAAATGTTTTTTTATTGTTGTAATATGAAGATCAAATTTAACATGAAAGACTGGTAATTTTCAACCCTTTTTTTAAGATGACTGAAAGGAGGAAAAACCAAAGTGAAGTATGGACTTACTTCACTCAGTCATTTATTTTCTTTATAACAGTAAATAAATATCGGTTCTGCATATCGGTTATCGGGCACATAAACACGTAAATAATTGGTATCGGTTATAAAATGTCAATATCGGTCGATCACTATAAACAACCCTGAAAAAAAATATTGCTGAAAGTTCAGCTTTACCATCACAGGAATAAATTTTAATTTAATATAAATAAAAACAGAAAACTGTTATTTAAGTAATAATATTTGATAATATTACAGTTTGAACCATATTTTTGATCAAACAAATGAAGACTTGATGAGCATAAGAGACTTCTTTCAAAAACATTTAAAAAAAGTGTTGAAGCGACTTTTGAACAGTAATATATTAAACACTACTGTTCAAAAGTTTGGGATCAGCAAGATTTTTGATGTTTTTAGTGTCTTATGCTCATCAAGGCTGCATGTATTTGATAAAAACACAGTAAAAAAGTAATATTGAGATATATTATTACAATTTGTTTTCTATTTTAATATACTTTAAAATATAATTTATTCCTGTGGTGGAAAAGCTGAATTTTCATCAGCCATTACTCCAGTCTTCAGTGTCACATGATCCTTCAGAAATAATTTATCATCAATGTTGGAAAGTTAAAAACAGAACAGCATTTATTCAAAACAGATTTTTTTTGTAACAATATACACTACTGTTCAGTTTGGGGTCAGTATGATTTTTTATAAATAAAAAAAAACTTGCATTGTTACAAAAGATTTCCATTTTGAATAAATACTATTTATTTTATACAACATTTTATTTCATACAACATTTTGCTAATAATCTTTCTAATTATTATATCAGATTTTATGACATTATATTGATTGAAAGACTAAATTGAATATTTGTATAAAACTTTAAAACACAACACAGGACTATTTAAATTGGACCAATGATTAACCAATCAAGACACATTTAGATTTAGCTTTATAAGTTCATAAAAAGTTCGACCAAATATCTTGGTATTGATTGAAAAGTCTATAAACACCTTATAAATACCTATATGTGTAGAGTGTGTATGATTACGCACCTGCAAGCCAGATATGGCAGACGTAGTGTAAGGGGCCAGGGCAGCGGGGCCGAGGTTTCTGCCTAGCAGAGGGTTGAGTGGGGTACTGCTGGAGGTGTGGGTTGCCTTCCAGTACGCCTCAAGATACTCAGCCAGGTGTTCACATGCGTCTTCCAATTGATTCTCATCCAAGATGATGTCAAACATCTCCTATTAAAGAGGAACACATATATGCACAGCCATACCACACACAAACACATAAGACTATGTTAAAAGTGCGCAAAACTGGAATGATTCCTGTAGTTTTCTTTCACAGGTGTGTTGATGTTTGTATGCACGAGAAGACGCACCGGAGGACACTGTGCTAGTTTATCTGCGGCTACGAGCTGTACATTGAGGTGTTTACTCTGTGACTTTCCTCTAGATTTGATGAGCCGCTGGAGGACCTACAAGACAGAAGAGTTGATTACAAGGCAAGAGCAATCAGATTTTGATTGGTCTTTCTCTAATGAAACACTAAAACCATGACACGAGTGTCTCTGAATGTCACACCTTTGGCGAGGACACTTTGACATTGACGATAATGGGTGCTAGTGAAGTCTTCATCAGCTGAGCAGGATGGTTGATGGTATCTGCGTCCAACACAACCAGCTGGAGCGAGCGAGCTAGTTCAAATATGCGCTCAATCTCGCTCTGTACCTCAGCTGTACATGTATATCACACAAAGAGTTATCAGTCTACAGTTCGCACACTAATAAAACAAAAACAATCAGGACTTGGAAATGACTGATTTTGATATTGCATTTAATGGCAGTATGTCAGATCAAAGGAATATTCTAGGTTAAACACAACCAGTTTCCAAAAAACTGTACAATATTTGTTTCTCAGGCATAGCTACTTCTAATTAAAAAAAAAAAAA